TCAGAGTCGTTATATAAAATATGAGCAGGGAAAATATTTTATGAGTTAAATGCAAGCTGCAGAATGTAGCGCTGAGAAGTCCGAGGCATGACTGTCTGTGTTTAATGACTGGGTTTTAGTGTGGTATTTGTGGGAATTATTAATCACAGTAACGAGAGGAAGGCATGTTAAGTGAAGTGAGGGTGGAGACAAATTAATCTCTTGGGTTTAATTGTGTTGACTTTTCTAAACACTCGCTGAAGTTTGACATGCAACCTGCACTTCCAAAAATGTAGCGCTCGCTCCAGCAAACTGTTTCCGAGTGACACATGAGGGGGTATTAGAACTCAATACATCACTGTGAAAGTTCACTATGGAACTGTTGAGCGTGTCCGTCACTCAAACACCAGGTCAGTGGCAACATGTCTATTTCTGCACTGTGAAAATGCAAAAAATATTTGTTGTTATTTCGAACATTGTGGAATTAGTTCCACACATCCACTTCTTTAACATGCACATTTACCCAACAATTTAGTTTGAAAACATTACAATGTCCATGAAACAAACGTTTCTACATACTGAAAGTAGTTGTCTATTGCATGCATGCACAGTGACTTTCTTGCTTCAAACCTTGACAGATTTAAAATGCACAGCTACTTAAAAAAACATGACAGGCTATTTTGGGCCTACAAAAACATGTTAAACCAAGAATACTTACCTAAAATGATTCAGAAATAATTATAATATGCCGATTTGGTGCTCAAGAAACATTTTTTATTATTATCAAAGTTGACAACAGTTGTGCTGCTTTATTGTGTGTGTAAAAACCATGTTACATTATCATTCAAATACTTTGGGGTAAGTAAGAAGATTACTGTTTTTACTATATTTTTATCAAATAAATGCAGCCTTGGTGAGCAAAAAAAGCTTCTTTAAAAAAGTAAAATAAATAAATAAAAAGTCATTATTCAAAAAATAAATAAAAAAAGCAAAATATTATATTATTATTATTATTATTATACTATAATTAACTTTTTTAATTTACAGCTTTTAAAATGTATTTTTTAATAATGTGTCTGTGTAAACTATATAATATTACACTGTTATAGAAACTATTACATTTTTTTTAACTTCTCTATTTCTTTTTTATAATGCAAAACAGAACACATTCATTGTGTAAAGAACTTCAGTGTAAAGTTGATCTCTTACATCACATTACCATGACATTTTGAAGGACCTCTATTTGTCAAATAACTCTGATTTTTAGCATGTTCAAGATAAACGATTTCAAAACATCAAATAATTAATACAACCTGAAAGCAAAGCTTTAACAAAGAGCTCCATTACACATTCAGGATGATTAATTCCCAGCCATTTCATCTCCAAGGGTGTGTCTCGTACATTTCTGAGGATATTGCCTCCTTGTGCTATGCTAGTTTGTGTTTCCCTGGTTACACAGTCTCCAAGGTAACAGGTGCTTAGAAAGAGGCAAAATAAGAACCTCTATTCTGCTGGAATGCAGCCTTGAGCAAGAGAGCAATTGTTGGCAAAAGAGCATTGTGGAGTTTGCATCCCAGGTCTTACAAGATCTTAAGAGCGGCTCTTTGCAAGCATTTCGAATGGCTTGTGCTGTGGAAAAGTAATGACAGATGAATGATGAATGTTTTCTTTTTTATTGCTTCAAGGCAAAAGCAACTTGATGGAACATTCAGTGGTCACGTACTCGCTGCAATGCCCTGGAAAGGGACTTTAAATGCAGGCGTGAATCCTCTAAATTATCATTCGGTATGTACAAAATACAGAAGTCACTCCCAACATTGCATTGGTTGATATAGTGATAATCATAGCTACACTTTGTCATTTTGTAGAAGTCAAAGGAGATGGACTAAATTATCATCAAAATTTATTGGAGAAACTATCCTCGCCTCACAACCAAACATAATAGCCAGTCAGAATCAAGTACAGCTGACCTCACTGTGGGGAACACGGTCCCTAGTGAAGTGTTTTTTGGAGACGGCTGGTTTGTGTTGGAAAAGAGGTGTCGTTGAACAACTGTAGGGGGTTCAGAACATTTTCCACCATGAAATTAATTACTGCAGATCACATGTTTTGTATAGGCCTACGGTCAAAAGATTTATTTTCCCCTTTATTAAAAACTTCCTCGCTTAACCTGCTGAATCTTGTCATAATATTGCATAACCTCCTTCTTTGCCATACTGTATTATGGAGTTATATTTGTAGTCTGTGTTTGGATTAGTGCTGTACTCACTAATTCACCTTGAAGGGATAGTTTAAAATATACTGTAAGTCTGCCATCATTTACTAGCCCTCACGTCGGTGCGGTTGCCAACCTGTATGACTTCTTTTCTTCTGCAGAACACAAAGGATAACTTTAGTCGTTTTTTCCATGCCATTGGAATGAATGTAGACTGGAGTTTTCAAGATTCAAAAAAGCATCGTAACAGCATCAAATCTATTTGGTCTATATGACTTGTGCACCATATTCTGAATACATAGGATAGATTTGCGTTAGAAATAGATGAAGTTTATGCTCTTATTGGCTGATAATCATCCTTTCCAGTGAGCTGCTAACTGCTGTTGAACTGAAGAACCAAATCATTTTGATTCATAAAAAAAAAAAATCATACTGGTTTTCTAAAATGGAAAAATATTCAAAAAATGATTAATTCCCATATTACATAATACCACTTTTCTAAAAGCATCAAGGAGATCTTTTAAAAACAATTGACATTTCTTAAACATTTCAGATGGCTTCAGAAGATTTGGAATATAAGTCATATGAACTACTTTTATGGTGTTTTTTTCAATATGGCCCGTGTTCATTTTCATAAATATTCACCTTAAAAGTCATAATTTGTTACCATGAAGGAAACGGCCATACAGAATTGAAACAACATGACACTCTTACAAAAAATAAGTATACTTCACGTTAATTTTAAGTAAACTTATGTAAAGTTCAAGTATATTTTTAAGTAATATCAATGTGCTAGTAGTATACTTGTAAGTGTACTATTTCAATACGACTAAATTGACCCGAATTGGCCCATTAACGCCCTGCATTCTCGCTCGGTCTGCAGTGGCGTAATGGAACGCGTGAACAGGGTGCATGGAGGTATGCAATTAAATGCGTTGACCGGCAGGTAGGACAGCCTATCACAGCCCTCAGACCAAGACATATGACTGGACAAACATTTTCATGGCCCTACGCCTTCCACAGACAATATAAATACATTTAGACAAATTAACTTGGTGATTGCTATCGGGATGTGAAGAGACTTTCAACTAATATAACAAAAAATGTTTTTGAACCAAATCAGTAAACTTTGAGAACAATACAAAGTACATAAAGTTTATTACATAAAAAGTAGACTGACAGTATACTTGTAAGTATACTAATAGTTGAATAAACTTCTTTGGTAACACTTTATTTTAAGGACCAATTCTCACTATTAACTAACATGCATATTACTAGCATATTGGCCGTTTATAAGTACTTATAAAGCACGTATTAATGCCTTATTCTGCATGACTATATTTTAGATCCCATACACTTAACCGTACTATCCATTAATAAACAGCAAATTAGGAGTTTACTGTGGCAAAATGTATAGTTAACAGTTAGGTAATAGTGAGTTAACATAGTTAATAGTTAGTTAATTGGACCTTAAAATAAGTGTGGCCCTTCTTTTTTGTAAGGGCAACTATTCCTTAAAGCCTTTAAAATAAAAAAAAATTAAATTAAAAATATTTGTTGTGATATTTACAATCATAGTGTGTCACTGTGGTAACAGACATTACCTGTGAGTTAGAGTAAGGCAGTAACTTTGGTCCTAAAGAACAGCTTGAGAGTCAGACCTGTCAGTAAATACGTTCGTCAGTCCCGAACGCTGACTGAGTGAACGTAGCCAACATGTGGGAGTGTGAATCACAGCAGATCCTCTCCAAACGCGTGTTCAAAGGCTCGTGTTCCCAGGTGACTGCAGGGAAACTGCACCAGGATGTTGGAATTCCATTAGAGCACTGCATTCGAGCTTTTTTCCTTTAGTAAAGTAAACAAGTGACTTTGTCCTTGGTTAGATGTTTGTGTATGTCTCTTAGAAACATGCTATTCAAAACAAAATGCTGCAATCTTTAGGGATGCGAAGCTTGTAGGTTAAAAAAACAGTCTGATACCAGGAAATTAGAAATAGAAATGTTTACACAATGATGAGAGAGTGTACTTACAATGATAATGATCAACAGTCATTCATTCAAAGTTACAGAAATAAAGTATCTAATGTCTAACACTGTATGATTACGAGACTCAGAGCTGCTGTCAGTGCCAACTAAGAATGTAAGTTATTAAATTGATTGCATGCAGCCCTATGGATTCCAAGATAACACAAAAGCAAGCTCGTTTTCTTAGTGAGATGCAGACCTATTTTTAAAGCGGTAATTTTTTGCACACATGCACGCAGTTATGATAAATTTAATATTACCAGGCAACAAAACCCTTAAATTAAGAAAACTCTTGATAATTCCCGTAGAATTATAAGGAGTTTATTGCAACCAGTCCCAGAATTTTATCATTAGAGATCTGTGATCCCTAAGACTTTATAGCTACAAGTGCTAAATATGGTGTATGAAATCATGAAATAATGCAGCTAAAGTGTGCAATTTATGTGCCAAACCGAATTGAAAAAACAATCAGTTTTTAAACAGGCTTCTCAAACAATCGATTTATTTCCAGAACATGATGCATGATGGGATACACTAAACCTCGAATAGTGCTCCGGAGCGGTATTCGAGATAGTGTGGATTTAGTGTGCGTTAAGGGCACTGCGCTCTGGCGTTTTTAAGACCTGGGACAGTCTTGTGCACGCACTTCCTGTCGCGCGCATGCGCTTTCAAGTGGCCAAGACCGCAAGTGTGGGTATTTGGACAAGGCAATAGTCTTGTCCCATAGTCACACCTGTTATGGAGTTAACAGCAACACCAGATCATTCAGCTCCTCCCACTAGTTCACAATCACCTGAATACTGATGCACTCCACCTGTCAACACCAATCAAGCCTGGTATAAAGCCACCATCACATCCCTTCCTCAGTGTCTGGTCTTGTTGTTCACATGTGTGCATCAATCTCCCTGGCTCCTTACCTGTTCATCTTCAGTCGTCTGCTCAGCTGTCTGGGTCCATCACCACCTGCAAAGACACCAGTGTGATTATTTAGTCTATGCTCTAAACTCTCCAAGAATATCCATACCTGTGATCATCACTTTCTCCTCTAATGACGCCTCATTTAATAAACTCTGTTGAACTGTATTTACTGGTGTTGTCCTCTTCTGTTTGCTGACAACACCACTGGATTAACTATTCATTATATAATAGATCTAATGTGTGCTAATCTTCATCAAATACGTTTAAGTAAATAAAAAAGTTTTTTTATGATAATAATAGTAGTAGTAACAATAATTAGGATAAGTGATTCTTAAGTCAACTAATATACTTGATTATCCTTAAAGAGATAGTTCACCAAAAAAATGGAAATTCTGTCATCTTTTACTCACCCTCATGTAGTTCCAAACCTGTACGAGTTTCTTTCTTTAGTTGAACGCAAAATACATTTTATTTATTTATTTTTTGAAGAACGTTGGTAATCAAACAGTTTTGGTTCCCATCGATGTCGATTGCACTTTTTGTCCATACAATGGAAGTCAATGGGAAAAAAACAACAAATTGCTTACGTTTGGATTGCTCACTGCTGAAATCAGGGCACAATTTCTGTAAAGCTGCTTTAAAACATTGACTTACTTGACTTAGAGACTTAGTTGTCTGTATTAAAACAGGGGCAGAAGGAAGTATTTGAAAATGATACGTATTCAACAATTCAATTGATTTTCCCAATTCATTTATCTTATCAGGCCAAAACTATACTCACTCATGCACCATAAAGAATTATTTCTCTTTTCTTTGTTTTTCTTTTCTCTTTTCATGTTTTCCAAAGGAAAACTTGCCTTCCCAGAATTATACTGGCAGTAGCGTCCAAAATCCTCATATTTCATATTAATATTCCTCCATTATTTTCCCCTTCCCATCTGTATATTTCTTCTCACCCGTTTAAATCTGTCTTCTTTCTTCCTCTGTTCATAACTGTACAGAACACGTGTACTCACATTCTGCCTGGCTTGAGCCACACTCTGGATTATGAGCAGTCAGTCATAAACCTCCGGGTTCATCTGACAGCAACCCGCTATTTAGTTACATTTACTGACAGAGACACTTTTTGATCCATTTAATGTCTGGATGCATGTCAGTTTCTCAGCCAGGCTGGGCCGCACAGCTCCACATTTCTCTGGTCATGTCACACCCCTCTTTTATATGTATATTTAGGTAAGTAATTAAATATATTGCAGGGTTGAGATGAAAGGACCAAGAGCCGGTTCAAGCCAGCTCTTTTTGCATGAAAGCTCTTTGAATCTGGCACAGAGGACCGTGAAAGGAAAGGCTGGCCAACATTCACTCTGCCAAAGGTATTTTTCCTTGTAGAAGGTGTAGCTGCCTTTTTTTTAATTTTTCTATGAAGTTAGTATGTAATACATGAAAGGAGCATGATGAATTAGGGAAAGTCTACCACACCACTCCCAAAAAGAACAGATGACAGGTTTTTGCTTTCTTCCTTTTCTTTTTTGACAATTGTTATGAATTTGAATCTAAAGGAAAGAGCATCACTCAGGCTCTGAGCATATTACACTGAATAATTATGAATCTCAGAGCTATTAAAAAGAGCTGGGGGTTACAATTAATGAGCACAGTAGTAATAACTCAAAACATAATGAAAGTTATACTTTGATGAGGTGAGTGATTGGAGCTGGCCGAGTCAACAGTGAGTTACTAAGTGTGAGGTCTGGCAGAGATTCTGGGAGGAGGGGAAAATATGAGCTAGCATGTTTGCCATCCTGTATGGATTTTGAACAAATATGCTGTAATTGTTGATGTAAGCAGAGCATAAACAGAAAGAGGTATAGCCATAATAATCGGCCAAGAACGTTTGCTTATAAGCTTTGTCATAATTTTCCCCACAGCTCGACTGTTGGAAATATCAGAAGCATATCCAAAACTGCTCTTTCTGAACGCTAAACGCTGAAGAGGCACATTAGAGGAGTGCATATGAAAATCGATATACAGTCATTTTAATACTCAATTTAATACTGCGCCTAAAAAGAAAGGAGATAACATTAAATGATAAATAATGCATAAATACATAAACAGGAGGTTGTGCATTGTCCAAGATTAAAAAGGTTAAGAATGGCATGAAGCACCAATGGACAACAATAAACAGTGAAGATAATACTAATACTAATACTAATACTACTACTAATACTACTACTACTACTACTACTAATACTACTAATAATAATAATAAACAATTCAGATAATTATTTTTATTTAATAATTTATTAATTTATTGTTATAATAATAATATGAATAATAATAATATTAATAATAATTTCAAAATAGTGAAGAAATAGCGAGGATAGTAACAACAACAATAATAATAATCAATTCAGATCATTTAAATTATTTGTATTTAATCATTTATTGTTATAATAATAATAATAATAAATTCAGATAATTGAAATGATTTGTATTTAATAATTTATTGTAATAATAATAATAATAATAATCATTATTAATTCATCAACAACAATGCATGTATGTTATTAAATAAATAATACTCGAAGTTCAAATTAAATAATGAAATAATTATAAGCATAAATAATTTGTGTAACTGTAGACTGTGTACAGAAGCAAAACAGCACATTATTTATAGAATGTTTCACATGTAAATGAAACAAACGTAGCTCAGAACAACAGAATTCTGAGTTGGAACTATCCGTTATATAATGCGGATTTATTTTCATTTGAAAAATTGCTGATAATGTGAACATCCACCCATTTAAAATGCTTAAGTAAGATTATAATGACTGAATGTTTTTTTTTATCTTTTAGGATTCGGTTCCCGTAGCTCAACTGGTGGAGCATTGTGGTAGCAAGATCGAGGTTGTGGAATTGATTCCCTATGAACACAAATAATGATAATGAGTACATTAAATCCACTGCAAGCCACTTTGGAGAGTCTGCCAAATGCATAAAAATAGTCATAAAATACTTCTGTCATTACAACTCTTGGAGGGATTGGCATGGTAATGTACATGACAATGTTAATGTATTTGGTCTTGGCGGAATAGATCTGCTACGCTGCTGCGGCAGAGCAAGTACCGAGACTTGCTACTGCCAATACATCCACAACATGCTGCTGTGAGCATGTAAGAAATATTGCTGCTGCAAATATAACATACATGAAATAACACCATATAGCATACATGAATCACCTCATAGCAGATCTATACAGGTGGAGCTGGGGAAGGTGGAGGGTTTCTGAAGCAAGCTGCAACTGCTATGGCAAGCACTAGTCATATATTTGAATGTTGAGCGGCGAGCTCATTGGCTACCGATACAGGAGAGAACCAGTCAGCTGTGCCATGTGATAATGATGTCATTAGGTCAGATTGAGTTAGATCTATCGGACTGCGCCATCTAGAGTTTCATGCCAGAACTCTGTGTTTTATCAAGTACATTTTCGGTTTTAAGTTGGGTAAAGTGCTTATTTATTCTTTTGAATAAGAGGGCTGTTTCTGTGAGTGCTTTCAAATTCCCTCTGGCTGAAGGCCACCTGTTCTGTTCACGTGTTGATGGAGAGATCCCTTGCACTGGATCCGCATGATACCACACAACTTGCTCCGTCTGCATTGCATTTGATTTGCAAGTTATTACAGTGCTCACAAAGCAGCACTTTATAGATATTCCTCAGACATTAGGTCCGGGTTTGTTCTGAACATGAAAGTATTAATCTACTGTGATCAATGCAGCCTGAAGCATCGATGTGCAGACTACACTCAAACTCTGGTGTGAGCTACCTGTTTTTGGCATTTATGGACTTTTTACTTATTTAAAATTAAGATTAACATTTGAAATGTACCATTAACTACAGTGCAGGATGAGTAATGTGAAAGTTTGACGCTTAATACTGAAATTAGACTCATTTTATAGGGTAAGAGGTATGAGCAATAGTACGTATATTTGCATCAATTAGCAGCATTAATTACAGTCGCAGTGATAATGTCATTATAAAATTAGTATCATTTAGAGTCTTTTCTTGCATCCATTTAACAATCTATAGCCAGGTTTACTTTGTGAAGACAATATTGCATTGTTGTTGATTACAATTGCAAACATTTCAGATGTTATCAAAAGAATTTTGATTCATCAGTAATAGATATAGTCAATGGAAATTTTGGTTGCTTAATTCAACTAATTGATCTATATTTACTATGGACATTCTAAAAATGTACTGTGTGCCAATTTACACCTATAGGGGGTGATATAACATTTTTACACAGGACCAAAGCCTAAAAAAGTTTTAATTCAACTCTATTCTTTTAATGATTTGTAAGCACTGATATATGCTTCAATAAATGCAAATCTCATTTTTATAGTAGGCAAAATGTTTTAGAATTTTTTTATAACTTTTTAAAATTGTTGATTTTTTTTTAAATTATGCATTTAATTTAATTTTTGTGCACAACTAACCTTAAAGCATAGCAGTTGGTGTCTACGGTAAAATAACTGTAAAGCACAGCCTCTCAAAACATAATATACAAGTTTAAATCTATAATGTACAAGTATAAAATAATGCAGTTTTATGGTTCTGGTCTCTTACCCATGTGTAATTGAGGTTCCAGAGCCCACGCCACAGCTCATAAAGCAAATGCTAAATCACTGACTCACCTGCCATAGAAACTGGTACAAATCCAGTGCTTTCCTGTTTGGTCTCCAAACTTGTTTTCCTTGGAGTGCCATTAATAGACTCATGGCTCAGCAAAGACGGATCCAGAAGACAGACTGCTTGTGCCAGACACATTTAGATCTGATGAGGATTGAGCTAAGTGAAGTGTGTTAACAGTTTTCCCTCCAGGTGTTATTTAGCTTGATAAGAGAGGTCCAGCTTCACAACCTGCCAGGAAAAGTGGGCCAAAAAAAACAACAACATCCAATAAAAAGAAGAACAAATCAGTAATGCGGTAAATGTGCTTCTCATTATGCAACAAGCATGTTTCATAAAAAGGAGAAGAAAAGCATTCTGTCTGGAAAGGACACCTGTTTCAAATCTCTGATTAAGGAAGCAGAAAGATCTGGAAATGTAGAGTGGGAAAGGAACATGCCTCAACCTCATCCTGCCCTAGTTTACTTCTGATGAATCTGATTTATCACGGCCACATTGCCAAAGAGG